TGTAAAACCTAATTTGTTTTTCTTCAAAATTAAGTGAAAATGTCATAACACACTTATTAATTGTCACCGTCTATATTATAAATGAGCGCTCGCCATCTATACTTTATAAATACTTTATAAATAACCTGAACAAACCTAATGAAAGAACACATATGAGCCGCGCCATGACAAAACCAACATAATGCGCAGTCTGATCAGGATCTATGCTGTTCGCTATCAGTTTCTCTACTTGTTATAGGGTTTGTTAGCGAACAGCATGGATCCTGATCAGACTGCGCGGAGGCGCAGGCTGGTCTGGATCCATGCTGGTCGCAAACGCATTACGTTGGTTTTGTCATGGCGCGGCTCATATATACATGTACTAAAAATGTTTTGAAAAGATTTTCAAATCGAATAAGGAATAATGAACCAGTTCCTTATTCCTTATTCAACGCCGAATAAGGAACAGAGGAAAATACACAGGAAAGAACAAAATTGCAATTGTATATGATAAATCTGCATTAAAACTGCAATAATCAAACAATCAAATGATTGCATAGAACATCTACATAAAATATTTCGAAAAAATGTTCAAATCGAATAAGGACTAAGAAACAAGTTTCTCATTCATTATTCAAATCCAAATAAGTAATAAAAGAAGATACATGAAGAAAGACACCAGTTGCAATTATTTCTGATAACTCTGCATTAGAATTGCAAGGTTCTCTTTCTTAGCGTATCTTCTTTTGTTCCTTGTTTTTGGGGCCGAATTATAACCCTTGAATTTTTTTTTCAAAATATTTTCATGCAGATGCTCTATGCCATGATTTTAAAGATTGATCCTTGCAATTCAAAGGAAGATATATACAAAAGAGTTGCAACTGGTGTCTTTCTTTGCGTATCTTCTTCTGATCATTATTCGGAGTTGTTTTAGAAATAACGAACTGGTTTCTTATTCCTCATTCGACTTCAACATTTTTTTCAAAATATTTTTGGAAATGTTCATTTATGTTTTTGGGAATAAATCATCCTTCCCAATTTTCAAATGAGTTTTATTGGGAAATACCCGAAAAATTTGGGGCCTTTTTGTTATTTTTTTGGTTTTTCTTATTCGGAAGCCCCGAATAGGGAATAAGGTTGATTTCCCTTTTTTGTTCCTTTTTTCCTTATTCATTTTTATCATTTTTTCAAAAAATTTTAATCCCATATGCTTTAGAAATTTTAAAATTTTTAATTTTGATTGATCCTTGCTTTTCTAATGAGAATTTTAAAATAAAATCGCAATTTGGCGCCTTTCTTTTCGAACCCTTTTTCTTTCCTTATGGGATTTTGGAATAAGGAATAATAAAAGGGTTTTCAAATTTCCCGTATTCGCCCTTAAACCCTTTTTTCCCATAAATATTAGTTTGCAGTGCTTATCCCAATGGAATTTTAAATGAAGGGTTTGATTTTTTCCAAATTCCCTAATGGAAGATTAATATTAAAAAAAACCTTAGTGCATTTGCGATATCTTCTGTTCCTTTTTAAGTGTTTTCAGTTTGGTTCTAGTTTGCTGGTCAACCATAAATATTTTTATATAAATACTTATTCTGCTGTTCCTTATTTAGATTTGAATAAGGAATACGGAACTAGTTCCCTATTCCTGATTCGAAAAAAGGAATAAGGAGTAGGGAACTAATTTTAGATACATGAAATATTCACATATCATAAAATATAACTTTAGCTTTAGGGCATTATTTTCGATTAGATCATCTTAATTGCAATAAATATTCAAGTATGCAATAATGGAATAATTATCTATTATTACCGTACGGTCTTATTTTTGTATAATTGACATTATTTTCATTTTCCAAAAAACCTATCATAATTATGGTCTTTGGCCAGTTATTGATAGACTGACCGACATATTGTTACGCATGCGCATAAAACATCATTTAATGATAGGAATATTAAGTTTATGTCTTGTATTGATTATCATTGGATTATTTGAAAATAAAACAAAAACAATACAAGTGAACAATTTTAAGTAGTTAACAATAGCTATTAAGTCTGTATAAATCGAAATTATAAATCAATGATTAGTGATTGGCATAAAACAAAGTGGCAGAGTTAAGAATGATATAGGACAACGCTCCAAATCTCACTGAGTAATTTTCAAAAATTGGTCTATTTCAATGAAACAATTTCTACCTTTTACCCTTAAATGGAAAGCATAAAATCATCTAAACAATGACTAGACAATTTACACAATTTCATTACTATGTTTATTGAATTATCTATAAACTGAACAGGTTTAAGACCCTTCACAATAAAGCAACACTGCATGATCCTTTTTTCACAGTCCATTATAATAGCATATAGATTAAACACATATATTTGTCGATTCTCCAGAAATGTCTTTCACTGGATGCCAATTAAGTTTTCGTGAAACAAAATCCCCTATAAGCAGAACAGCAGCAATTCCTTGTGCCGTTGAAATGATGGCGAAGATAGCGTTGTAAGAACCTGTATTGTCCCTGATAACGCCTGAAATGAAAATACAAACAATAGCATTATATCAATAAGTACAGACAGTATCTCGCCTGTGATGCATTACATTTGTTCCCATATAAGATAATTTACTATAGACTAAAGAAATGAATCATCCGCGAGGACACGTTTATCCTTAACCAATAGTTTATTTTTATTTTCGTTTTTAATTGTGTTAATTTGTTAAACCCGTCATTGGTACAAATGATTCGGGGAGCATCCCAAGTGTTCCTTAAAATTACAGTATAAGTATGTATGGTATGCAAAAATATAAATAGTGATAGTTTATAAAACATTTATGTCAAGCAAGATATTAAAAAGTTTATAAACACATAAATTTTCATATTGATTATTATCATTGATCATTGATTCCTTAATCAATATCTTATCCCTGCTTTGTATTTTGAACCATCTATATAAAGGAATTTTAACATCAAAACTTAAGACATGCTAACATGGTCCTATGTTGTTGGCAAAGGTTTATGACTTGTATCACAGCTAGCCAAGATTAAACGATAATTTATTGTCTTTTCATTCATTGAAACCTGCATTGTTTAATGATCAAACAGAAACAAGGAAGTACTTGCCATAGAACCCTATAATATTGTATGTGAATCCATAACGCATTATTAAATAACACTGAATTGTGTGGGGAAAAACGCTGAATCGTGCAATATAAATCTATACTGGAATGGTTTTAAAGCGATAAGTAAAAAACCAATATATTTTATTGAAAATAAAACTGAAAAAGAAATTAGTAAATACGGCTTCAAAGACGCAACATGTGCATGAAACCTCGACTATGGAATGAGTTTACCTGCTTATCAACTTTAAGTAAGTTACCGTATAATGGTCCCATTCCAGCAGACAATGCACCAGCAAAGTCACAATCGTTCCTATAGCAACGTTTGCCAGTTCATGACGCACAAGATCTGCACATATCACGGATGCACAGGCCAGAATTCCGATCACTGCACTCATACATGCCAGTCCGATTGCATACAAAACAAACGTGTCTGCATATATCACAATAAGGCAGCCAATACACGCAAAAAGAGCAAGTCCAAAGGGGAGCAAGTAATGATCAATTTTTCCCAAAAAAACTTGCTGAATCAGTCCAACAATGATTTTGAAAAAAAATAATCCCCCAATTTAAATTTGGTAAAAACAACCCCAAATTAACCCATTTTTTTGCTTCAAGGAATTTATTAAATTTCCCTTTCCCAGTGTTTATATATCAAAACACCAAAGTCGGACGGAAATGCCCCCTTCCCGGAAAAATTCCTAAAAGGGTTTGGGAAGCGCCAACCAAAGGGAAAGGCCCGAAAAAATACCGTTTTTTCATTAAACCAATTAAAAAAATTTCACATTTAAAAAGCAAATTTTTTTTTCCCTCCGGGTTTTTTTACTATGGATTTATAAACAATGTTTTTTCCCCGTTTCCGGGGGCTTTTCTCCCGGTTGAAAAAGTAAAAAATCAACCGGCGCAACCATTTTCCCCCTTAAAGAAAAACACCAAAAAGAATTACAGAAAAAAACTTCCACCTAAATTTCAAATTTAAAGTTCCACCCCACCCATTTTGTTGAATCCAATTAACCCTCAAAATAAATAAGGGGTAAAATAAGCCACAATGGAAGGGAACATAACTCTGGTAAAGAAATGCACCAGAAATTTTCCCCTTTCCCCCTTTTTAAATCCCCGTTTAAAAAAGTTTTAAAAAAAAATGAAAAAAAATAAGGAAAAATTTCCAAAAAACCTACAACAACAAAAAAATTATCATTATTGTCAGCAAATAGGACTGCAGATTTTTATGTAACAATGATGATGATATTTATTTTTCAAAGAGAATCTGAAGTGTCAAAAACAATTTTTAAGTTTAAAACAAAACATGTTAAATACATCTTATTTTAATATGGCTGTCAAAAGTATATAAGACAAAAATAATACACCATATCAATAACAACAGCAACATGATGAACTACAACCGATATTATAAGTCAAATAGTAATTCTTCATTAACTCAAGTTCGGTTTTATTAACAAATAGTATGTGAAATATCCATTGATAAAATATTTAGCAGAAATGTTATCTATGTAAGCGTTGACATACCGCGGAGATATGACCAGCCATGTGGTAGAATTGTCGTAAAACAGGAGAACACCTTATTTAAAGTTATCCTTACGAATATTATCAAAATCTGTAAAGTGGTTTTGGAAAAGAAGCGCACACAAGATTGAATCTACAGACGGTTCTCTAGGCCAGACTATTACATTGGAAGACAGCCTAAAAAGTTTAGCAACTCACCAATATAGAATATTACCAAATTGGATTTAATATTATTGGAAATTTTCCATCTACACTTGCACTATTGTGAAAATTAGCTCTTACAATTACCAGATATATATGGTCCTTATTTAACATTATTTTTATAAATTATTACATACATGAACAACTTTGCACAATAAACATGAAAAAATAAGAAAGTATATACCTCCCAATATGCTAATTGTAGCATAAAGATACCAAATGTCTGTAACGATAAATGACACTGCAAAACCTGAAGACATGCAAATACTGGACACCAAAAGAACGACAGGTAATCCGAGTTTGTTGATTATTACTCCGCTTACAGCACCTTTAAATGACAAAAAAAATAATTAAAAAACAAAGAGAATATTCAAATATATAATGATAAAGAATTATTTAAATTTAATCATACCGACGTAAATAAAGAAATTTGTTCGGTCAATACGCTGTTGACATACATTTTTCTATAATGGTAGTGATATTTCGTTGAACGGTTATGAGATAAAACGTCTGTGAAAAGATAATACTTAGTAAAACGTCTGTAAAGAGATTAGCATTCTTTGACTGAAATGTTTGGAGTCGTGGAATTATACAACCATTTAACAAAAAATGAAAGTGATAAAAAAGTCAGTTAATGAACAGGCTCAATCAAACCAAGCCTGCAGCATTTTCAATTTTGTCGTTTTGAGCGTCGTTCCTCGGGGATTCCGTTTATCTCTATTTAAATTATTTTTATTGTATTATTGTCTAAAGCTTTTTTGTTATATACAATATAAAACTTTTTGAAATGTCATGAATTCCTTAATGAGAAGTAAGTTGACCAAATTTTCATTGAAATTATTTAAGGTATTACCATCCTAATCGGCACTATTAGGAACTAAACAATTGACATCATAGGTCAGATATATACCTTAAAGAACACCTGTATGCAAAATTTAAACAAAGTTTACCATACGGAAATTAAGTTATGGCCAATTTTCTGAACTCAAGCTAGGATGTTATGAGGGCCTTTTTTTTAGAAATGAGGAACCTTTAAATAATCTGCAATAACATTCTAATGAAATATGTTTTCCCATTAATTTTTGGTAAGAAACAAATAATACCATTCAGCTAACAATCCACATAAGCAAAATTATGGTTTCTACTTAAAATTTTTGAAATCTGTATAAAAATGCTACCCTACACCACCCATTTTTACCACGTGTCTGACCATTTTCCCACTTAGGGAGCCTAATTTAAAAAATCCTTAAAATTTACCCAAATAAGTGCCTGTTTTCAAAGTTTCCCTAAATTTTGAAAGAAGTTTATTGGTTGATCTTGTAAAACATGAAATACTTTTACCGTCTAGTTTTGATTTTATTACACTTACCATAATTATTACTAGATTTAGCATAATTTATCCAATAAATACCTATATAAATTAAAAATCAAAATTAAACACATTTTTCCCAAATGGGACATGAGAGATACATAAATAATGTTTAAAGAAAAAAAAGAAAAAAAAAAAAAGAAAAAATGTTGACCCTTCTGGGAATTGAACGCACGGCCCTCATTTTCAATGTAGTTAACAGTATTTCTAGTCTATTTGAATACTCTTCAAAGCGGAGGTAATGCATTAGGATGGTAATACCTTAAAGATTGTTAGCTTTGGACTGGTTAAAGTGTATTGTGAATTTGAATAATAAATAAGGCGATTAAATCACATACATCTATTGAGTAAAACACTTTCAAATAATATTTACGGCAAATGTCTGGAAATAATTTTCATGGTGTAGAGTAAAGCTACTGCATTTGTCAAAGCAAACTTTATTTTAACCCTTTACCTCATACATACGAGAAACAACGCACTTTCGACCCCCCCCCCCTTTTTTTAGGACTGAAATAGTGAAAAAATGTCCTATTTGGGCCCCAAACACATGTTTTCATTTTAGAAATGTTGCTTAAAAAAGTGAGCACTTTTTCGGCTCCGCCCCCATCCAAAAGATACATCAGGGGGTTGCCAGAAGGGGGATGAGATCCCTTCTGTTGGGGGGGTTGGAAGGGGGGCGGAGTCCCCCTCATCGCCAAGAAAATTTTGGACTTGTGAGAAGCTAAAAATGACCCCATACGATCATAAGGTAACGTGTAACCAACGCTGAAACGCCTTTTACTCTTTCTCAATCCCTTGAGAAGTTGCAGCACTTTGAAATAAATTTAGATGGAAAAAATCGAGGCAAAATAGTGATTTTTGGCAATTTTGAGATGTCCCCTCATTGCCATGGTAACAGGAAAATTAAGACTGAGCATGTCGTTACAAAGGCAATGGTCAAGTCAACATTTGTGCCAAGTTTGATTAGTATTGAAGCATTTTTCATAGTTTCATAGCATTTTGAACTTGTAACAGGAGGATTTTCAGTGAAAACGGTCATTTTTCACAATATGCTCATGAGGGAAAAGGTTAATAAACTTTTTACAAGCAATGTCGGCGTAAGTCCGAGTACATATTTAGCTCGTGTCTTGTTTGCATTGGTCTATACTGTGATGATTAAATACTTTAAATGTAAATATAGCTGTAAGAACTTAATTGATACATTTATAAGTCTTATTCTGTATTTCTCCGAGATATTTTAGGACGTTTAAGTCGGTCAAATCTTAATGGTCTGACCGGTTAATCCCTATAATTGGAGAGGCCACAGTGTTGAGAATGATTGCTGGCGGCATCCATTTTTGCGTATCAAATTGAAGCTAATGCATCGCATTTTAAGCCTTAAAACATTAGAATCAGTCTACAAAAATTGTTATGTGCATGCTCTGCCTCAAAATACGACTGAACTTAAACGAAAAATAAACATCGAAGTGAACAAATCGGTACAAGGAAAAATCGGAAAATATCATTTACGTTACTTAACACTTCGAGCAATGGTTCATTCCGTTTTTAATCCTTTAAACTGTATAATCGATTATTGTTTTCTGAATAGCGTTTTACTTTTTAATGTTCCGAATATTAGGAACAGTGAACATTATAGCAACAATATCACCATACACTATTATCACGGGGGAGGAAGTGTTACACGAAGGATGGAGTTCTTATAATAACTTGTTCAGGAGTTTTTGTGATAACTGTCACGGAGTTCGTCGGAAAACATCTATATATACTACAAAAACACTCGTCAAAAATGGTTATTTTCATAGTTCAAAAATGAGTTTAGGTACTAAATTAAAGCTTGTCTTACATCTTGTATTATGATTCACAGGCTAATTTTCATCGCCTCTTGCTTCAAATCTGGTAGATTTGAGTAAAATTTCCAAATTACTTCCCAATTCACAAGTATTGACCGGTTTATTTCTGGCCTTCATCCTTTACATACATAATTACCTATTTATAATGCAAAATTGCAAACATAAAGCACCGGCTAACATATTTATACCCGTTTTTTTTCCAATGTCCCGGAGTTCTTGTGATAACTCTGAAGATGTCACAGAGTTCTTATGATAACTTTTGTTATTGCCAGTTTGTTTTTTGCGCTAAATCACGGCACGTTTTAGCGTTTATTATCATTCAATAAGATTGTAAATCATTATGAAATGTAGTACGCTCATATATGACCGAGTGAACGGTGTACCGAAAATTTGCTGTGAGCTGGTATGACTAAATTACGCAACGGAGATTTTTTGGCGCAAATGGCGAAAATGGCACAACCTTTTCTCAAAAAATATGATAAACAAGATAAACAAGGAAAGGCGGCGTTCAATGAACGCAACCACCACATGATCCAGCAACAAGAACCAGTGGCAAGGAGCCCAGGCGGACCCCAAACAAGTTTGATTTTCTTGCCATATTGTGGTTGGAGGCATGCAGCAGTATATATTGTTTATTCCAATCAAATGATATATACATTATTAATGTAAATCTGGGACTTAAAAATTGTTTGATTAACATACTTTATGCCCGTTTTGGAAAATCTCTGGTGCCTTTTATGTCTCCAAATATTTTCGAAATAAACACATCTTCAACAGCTGCAAAAAAAACTCTCGCATGCCTCTTTTTAAAGAAGCAAACTTGTTTTAAAAAGTTTTCGTAGGTGTGTACGTCCAGTTTGTTTCATAAGGAATGAGTGTGGGTTCATTTAGATTGTCTTTTGACTTAAACTGAGCATTTGTTGAATTTTTATATTAATTGTACTAAGAATTATATTATATTTCATATATTTTACCCTCGTTTACATGCAGATTGCTTTACTTCATGTTTATTTCATGCATATCTCAAATTTTGTTTATGAGTCAACATTATTTAGGTAACAAAAACTTTTTTTCAAATTAGTATTCAAGTTTATGGATTATCTTGCCGATAAGTGAATTTTGAAATTTTATTATCATGTACATCGCATTCTTCACGCTCAACAAAATGTGACATATGTATCTATTGATGAGATGGGTATAAATATATAAACATGTAAGCCGATGAATAACAAAAAGAGCAACTTACAAAAACTTGTTGATATACCCATCAATAGGGCATGAACAGTAGCTGTAGTTGGTCTGTCTGTTTGAAAAGTGTCACGAATTGAAGTAAACAAAGCCCCAAACGAAAATACTAAACCAAACTGTAATGTAACTAGCACAAACCCCACCCAGAAATATAACCACTTTGTACTGAAAAAGAAAATAAATAACTTATTAATATAAACAAAAATGTTCCTTGCGGTTAAAGCAAAATGCAACAAGTTAATTCTTTGTTCTTTGCAGATTTTTGTATCATACATTCAATGAAAACCTATGTCTTTTTCAGTAATTCAAACGTTTACATCGCACACGTTAAAAGCTATATAGTTCCAGTCCTGATTGATCAGATCATCCTGTATTCAAATGTTGTTACGGTGAACATAGCTGCTATTTATTGTACCGTTATCAATATTTACTTTTTCCAATATTTACTTTTTCATTTTCCTATCTTTTCTTCCAATCTCCGACTGTTTATTTCCTCTTAAAATGTCTTTAGATCATTCTTTCTTTCGTTGAAGTTGAATACTTGCATAAAGTTATTATTAGAACATGTGTTGGTTCGCAAATTTCAACTTTTCGGACAACGTTAAAAATCGGCAAAGTGATCCGTATAATTGCTTTGAAAGAATCGTCATAAGAAGTCTATATTTTTTTGCATCAAATAGTTTGCTAAAAAGCAATGTATCTATTCTTAGACGGCCGTTTCGAATTGTTACATCAAAATTATATAGAGAAAAACAGAATTCCTAAAGAAAGTCCAACACAACAAAATTGAAAATGTTGCAGGCTCTGTTTGATTGAGCCTGTTCATGGACGGTACTGGAAAGTTCAAGTTACCGTCCACGCCCCACTAACACCGACTTAAGCAGAATTCAACATTTAATACGAAAATGGTGAATTTTGAATTTAGAAACATCCGCAGATGTGTTCATACGGCGGTTATCATGGAACCTTCAATGTGACACATTAATGCCATTCCATGAAAAGCGGCGTATGGTCCCCAAATAAAAGAATGCTTTTGCCCTAAACGAGAAAACAATGGGCGGAACTATATAAAATTGAATTTTGAAAGGGGATCTGAGGTTATGAAGCCAGCATATCACGGATAAGACGTCAAAAGACAAATTTAAAAAAGCAGGCAACACATCCTAAGGGTGATTATACAGTATTCAAGTAGGAATACTGGAACCACCCAAGTTGAAGTCATGCATAGTATGTTTTGGTCTGGATTGGAAAAAAAATTAATATTCGGTTTACTCTAGTTTGAGTTGACCTATTTTTCTATTATCACTAGCTAATACAGTAGATTCAACACACTGAAAATCGCCACTCCATGAACAATGCCAAAACTCAAATACATTGACATATGTTTTACATCGTCAATAATAAACACGAATCAGTCACTCAGATCAAAGATCAATGTCAAACCTTAAGGTAAAAGGGAAAGGGTAAAAAGGTCTACAGACAGAGCATATATTGTGACAAATTGGAATTTTTATACGGAGTCTGTAATTAATGCATAACATCTCATGCCGCATGCCCTTCATTTTTAATAAATGCCATACGACATATGCTTAACTGAGCATTTGGAAATGTTTATGTTGGGCTCTTAAGTGTTTAAGCTTAAACTCGGATTAAAACAATCTTACCTTTGATTCATTTTCCCCGATTAATTCGATTCCTCACACATGCCTCTAGTTATGATGAATGTTGAAACTACCATATCAATGTCGTGCAAACTGTATACCCGGTACATGTTTATAAACATACTTCTACTTTATCTCATTAAATATTCGCGAATGTGTAACTGCAACTATTACAAAAGAAAATGCATGCTTTAGAAACCAAAAAAATAATATTATGTAAATTATAATCGTCCACCATAAGTTTTTATGGGTTGTGATGACTCATTTGTAATGTTACTTTAGTTAGGACAGTATCGTATTTTATTTATTTTATTTGTTTGCTTGTAATTCTTAAATATAGGTATATTTAGTCTAACTTCTATTTTTTATAGACCAACTTCTACTTCGATTTGAAAGTGATGTGTAAATTGGTATTCTTGGTATTAATTTAAATAAACATTCGTATCCATCTAATTCCAAGGTATAATTGCTCTGTTCCCAAGTTTCACAAAGAAAAAATTCATTTAAGTACACGTATATATATATATATATATATATATATATATATATATATATATATATATATATATATATATATATATTATATATATATATATATATATATATATAGAAATGAGAGAATATATACACACATACCACCACATCGATATGCCAGTCCAATTACGGCACAGCGCCTAGCAGAACAGTCATGAAAGCATAGCCACTTAGTTCTGTTGTATGGAAATGTTCATTATAGGCCTATATAGTGGCGTATATAAAAACTGACTGCATGAAATAATGCCACTCATCTCGGTCTTATATATGGGCCCCGTAAGTGAAGATATGTGTGAATATATATATATATATATATCTTAACGCAATCATCCGTGGCAATGGGTGTATTTGTACAATCAAAGTCTTATGGGTTTCCCTCCGATTGATTTTCGTTCTCATCTCCTCGGTTATATCTACAAGCCCTAGATGCAGTCTTGAAATCTGACACCGTTCCCTTCATAATGCCGAAAAATAAGAGATTGTTTCTTATTGACCTATATTTCAACTAAAGATTCGGCCATACATTCAAAACTAGTTTTAAACTCAGCGTTTGCATATTGTGTGTGTGTGGTTTTTTTTTTTTTAATTATTTTTTCGTTCTACTTTGTAAATATCAACTTGTTATTGTTTCATGTGGGTTACCAATACACTTTTTGCAACACTATTTGTCCGCATTTACGTGTCCATTATATCGATTGTTACCATTAAATTACTCAATATTTGAATTATCAAGCTGTCTTTACTTGACATCAAACGATTTTATGTATCTATAAAATTTGTAAGGGGTCAATACTTGCGTAGTTTTTACTAGGTTAAATTCGGTGTCTCTAAGATTGCCATACACAAAGGGCGGATATTGACATGTAAGAGACAGTAGAAGAAAACCTTTAGATTCACGCAAAATAGCATTTTGAGACAATTTTGAGCTTATCAAAGTTTTGTCAGCTGTTTTTTCTTCAATTTAATCATTTTGTAAACACAATACAATCGTTTTAACCAATATGCTTTGAATTTAAATCCATTTTATTAACTTAATAATTTTCTACGTTATATACAACTTTACTTTTGCTAAGAACCATAAATTATTTCTTAACTTATCATAATGATAAAACAGATTTCTTTCCTATTTAAAAACAAGTCTGATTCAGAAATGTTTTGAAATAATCCCCTGACATGAATCCGTTACAACTCGTCTAGGTAGCATGGAAAGCATGCACTCCAATATTTTCATGTTTTGATTGGGTGTACAATCACATGTCTTACGGCTTCATTACCGGCTTTTTGTCATTCAGTGGCTCACATTTCTTACATCTATCAATTTGATATGGCGAATGCTAACATTAGGCGGCATTCGAGAGAAGTATGGGGCGTCCGTGACCAAGTGGTTAAGGTCGTTGACTTCAAACCACTTGCCCCTTTGGGTTCGAATCTCGACAGGGACTTTGGATTCTTTCATGTGAGGAAGCTATCCAGCTAGCTAACCAAATGTCGGTGGTTCTACTCAGGTGCCCGTTCGTGTCTGAAATAATGCACGGAAGGAGCACCTGAGGTCTTCCTCCACCAGTAAAGCTGGAACGTCGCCAAATGACCTGTACTGTGACGGTCTGACGTAAAATCCAAAACAAACAAAAATCAAGCGAAGTAGAGTTATGAAGGGCCGTAGGGAGGGATGATGCAGCAGAGGGCCACCTTCTGCCAGATTGGTGCGGCGCTTTGTGTACATCCCACCGCCATTACCAGAGCCTGGAAGAGAGACCGGCTACTTGGTACATCCACCAAATGGCATGCTGGAAGTCGGCAAAGGGTCAAAACACCAGCTCAGGACCGGTTTGTTTGGGCGTTCAGATACGTCGTGCAAGATTTTGCCTGCAACTTCTTTTCGAAATGACTTGCTTATGCTGCGGGCTCCTAGTTTCCAGAAGGCTGCATGAAGGTTATTTGCAATCCAGAAGACCTTGCATACATATCCCATTGACGTGTGACGTGTGGTACATCACCAGGCCAGTTTGTAATGGACCATTTGGCATACACGGTGGACCATACAACACTGGAGACACGTTCTGCTCACTGATGAGTCCAGGTTCTGCCTAGACTTCACAGATAGGCGTGCTAGAGTCTGGAAAAGACGAGGTGAAGGTTTCAGGCTGCAAATATTGCTGATGACCGCTTCGGAGGTGGGTCAGTAATGGTGTGTGGAGGCATCAGCTGAGATGGACGAACCGGCTTGGTTGTGCTAAAAAGAGGCACATTGACAGGTCAGCGATACATAGACGACATCTTAGACAACAAGGTTAGGTTGTATGATGGAGCAGTCGGCGATCAGTTCATTCTAATGGACGATAATGCTCGCCCCATAAGGCCAGGATGGTCCAGGACTACCTAGAGAGGGAGTCTAATGAGCTGCATTGAAAGGCCGGCTCGCTCACATGACTTAAATGCGATAGAACACATGTGGAATGAGCTGCAGGTTAGAATTTCAACTGGTCAGCTTAATCTAGAACCATTCAGGGTCTTGGAGTCATGATGGTCCGAGAATGGGCAGCCATTCCCGTTAGAACGAGCAGAAACCTAATAGACAGTATGAGATTGTGCTGCCAAGCTGTCATTGATAGTCACGACCACACAAACGGTTCAGTCTAGAACTGTTAAAAAAACCCACAATATAACCAATTTGCAAAACACGCTGCATGTTTTGAAATCTTCAAAGAGAAAATCCATTTCTCTATCACACAATCAGAGTAAAACTCATTTAAATGATTAAATTCGTCCTTCAGCTGAATGATAAAACATTAAAACCTTTTGCACGGCGTTTATAAACTTATTCCAAAAATTTTTACATTCAAACATATTGGTTTTCGCAAAAGTTGAGAAGTATACAGTTTCCATGTTATGTATGAAAAAATAAGTTTTGAAAAAAATGACCGCCATATTGCTATGCATGCACATAAAACAGCATAAGATAATAAGAAAATCGAGTTTCTTTTTGTATTGTTTATCATTAATTTAAAACTATTTGCAAATAAAACAAAAACAATACGAGTCAGCAAAATTTGATTTTAGAAGACTTTTGTATACTTTAGCTTTTTAGTGTTTATAAGTCAGGCAAAAAATAAATTTATCTTAAGTGATTTGTATAAAAAAAACTGTACACAATTAAGAGTGATGTAGACAAAGCTCTAAATCTCAGAGCGTAAGTGTAAAAAAATGACCTATATCTAGGATTCAACTACCAGCTTTGAGAGCATGGACGCATCGAAACAATGAATAGTAAATTCACACAATTTCATACCAGTTCTTAACAAAGTACTTACAAACTGAATAGCCTAAAGACACTTCAACCTATAATGTTATTTTCATTTTACACAGCCCATAAAATTATATTTACGTGTGATTTAAACATGTATTATTTTCGTTTCTTCAGAGATATTGTCAACATTATTAACGTCTTTCATTGGCTGTTTCTTCAATTTTCGTGAAATAAAATCCTCTATGAGCAAAACAGCAGCTATTCCTTGTGCGGTGGCAAAGATCGGGAAGACAGAATTGTAAGAACCTGTATTATCTCTTATTACGCCTGAAATTGAAAATGCAATAATAACATTATTTGTACATATATAGACAACAACTAACCTGAAAAAAACTACAGACTCAAGTAAGAAAATATTCTTTACAAGGGGCTTGGGTTCAAAACACTGGAAGGGCAATTGTTTTCTTCATTTTCTACTTTTTTACATTTTTATGAACCACTCAAATTCCCTATTGGAAAGAAAAAAGTGTTTAACTTTTATTTTATAATTTTTAAATGTATTTATTGGTTTAATAGTGCTAAATATGGAACCTGATATATTCAAAAAATAGATAAAAACAGAATCCATAAAGAAAGCCAAACACGCCAAAATTGAAAATGTTGCAGGCTCGGTTTGATTGAGCCTGTTCATGGACGGTACTGGAAAGTCCAAGTTACCGTCTACGCCCCTAGCACCGGCTTAAGCAGAATTCAACATTTAAACATGAAATAGTAAAATTTTGAATTTAGAAACATCCGCAGATGTGTTCATATATGTCCTGATATGTTCAAGCCTAAAAAGGGAAACCTACACGGTAAAAATATTTAATATTAAACAAGATCCACCTATATACTTTTAAGAATATAAAGGCAAACTTTGATTGCATTAAAAGATTCAAAAATGTAAATTTGAACGCCTTAAGTATCTTTTATCTCCTCTGAAGAGTATGAATTATATCCTAAGAATGTTTGTTATTAAACGTAACTTGCGTAGGAGGGGTATTATTATACTCTTACTGTCAGGAAACAAATATCTAATTTAATGACTTATTCTCATATTTTATTCATTGGCATCTGCATTTTTTTTGAACTCAATTTAATGGTTATCAAACTGAAAAATGAAGTACTTTCTATAACTACTATAATACTGATTTTCCGTAGCACAGGAAAAGAAATGTTTATCAAATAACGCTAAATCGGGCAAATCTAAATATGTACTGTAGTTGTTTCTAAGCGGTATGTGAAAGGACCAATATATATAAAAAAAATTGTAAATCAATCTGCAAGAATTGAATAAGTGCATAGTGCATACGGCTGCTTAAATATTCGTTTTACCCTCATTGTTAATATTTCTATACACGCCTGTATTTTTTTCAAGATCATTCGTTTGTGTGACGACCTGCCTACCATATAGAAAACGACTTTTGTGTTTTTTCTATATGAGTTATAAAATAATGCATAATAGATTAATTTTATCAATTGTTAGTATTTCTGAGCCATGTAGTACTGATTATTGTATGCCATATTATTCTTACGTGAAACTGAAAAATCTGTCAGATGAGATTGACAGACCGATTCTCTTGACTCAATGACAAGGGTTAAAAGATGTAAAGTCGGGGGACGTTCTATGCGTAAAAAAACCTATATTATGAAAATCATTTACATTTGAATGAACTTTCTTACCGTATATGGGTCCCATTCCAATAGACAAGAGTCCTCCTAAGGTCATAATCAACCCTATAGCAACGTTTACGTGTTCAAGACGTACAAGATTTGCACATATTATGAAAGCACACGCCACGAGTCCGAACACTGCACTCATACATGATAGTCCAATAGCATACATAACATACGTATCTGCAAACATAACGATAAGGCAACCACTACACGCAAAGAGAGCAAGTCCAAAGGGAAGCAAGTATGTATCAATATCTAGCACTTGCTGAATCAGTCCAGGTACGATACAAAAAATTATGCCACAGATATTAAAAAAAACAAATACCATATTTGCTTCAGAATTATCAAATCCTTTCCAGTGCGATATATCAAACACAAAGTCGAGAAATGCGTCTGCTGTTCCTACAGAAACTGTGGCTGCTACGAGCAGGCATATGTACCGTTTTGTCATAACACCTTTGAAAAGGCTTCCTACACTTGCGCACATTTGTTCTTTTTTCGGATTGTTACTCATGGTATTATAATAATGTTTTTCTTGTTCTGCCAACTTGTCTTCCGGTTGTAAAGTAAAATCACTACGGCGGAACCATACCATTAACGAAAACACAAATGAATTACAAAACACTCCACCTATAACTAAAAATGTTCCACGTACACCATATGTTGAGACCAATTCATCTAGTAAATAAGGATAAAACAAGCCGGCAATAGAAGGACATGGACCCTGTATGGCAATGCACCAAGCCCTTTGTTTCCCTTTGAAAGTTCTGTTTATAACCGTTAAGAAACTGACATAAAATAAAGAAGTCCCGATACCTACAACAAAAAGAAATGATTATTAATGTCAGAAATATAACTGTATATGTGTTATAGGATTATGATGATATATGTTGTTGTTGTTGTTGTTTTAGTAACAAACGATATCAGTCAAAATGAAATTCATCTTTAAAACAAATTGGATTTTTACAAAATACTTATTTCTAAATATATTCTTCTTCGAAACAATTATTGATGGAACTTTTAGCAGATCCTTGTATTGGATTTGAAAGTCATAAACATATATTCAACATTAACGGCTAATATAACTTATACAGTAATCTTACAATGTACAATTTCTTACAATCGAGTTTATTTCCGAGTAAACGGACATAAGTCTGAAAGCCAATTTCAAAAAAAATAGTATTGTTTCACCTGGACATTTGTGGGTCTGTCATAACCTTATTCGTGAAAACCATTGTTCGAGCCTGTAACTCGTGAGGAGGAACTCCTTCTCTATCACATATTTGAAGGGAACACTCAAGAAACATTGCTTTATCGATATCACGACAATATGAGCGTCAGTGCACAAAATGTGAACTTAATACAGAAACTATTATCCTACATCAGATCTGTTTCTGTATCAGGAATACCAGAGAACGTGAGAATTTGTGGAACATGCTTATAAATACTCTTTCTCGGGTTAACTTGGTTCCATGAGCTAATAAGAGATTGTCCTCTTGAACAATGTAAAACTAAAATGGGGCTCGCCGTTAAACGGGCGCATTTTCATAAACTTCTCATTAACTAAATCACTATAACGTTTTTTTAGATTGAATGTTGTATTGACATGCTATGTAATACATATTTTGACGTACAATGTTGTATATATTATATTTGTACCAATGAGAAATGTTTTCTGATACATATGTCTTATTTGTAATTAATATGTAAAACACAAATTATAATAGATTTAATCTTCGAGTGCTAGAAAACTTAGATATAGATACTTTTATGAATAAGTAGAATATTTCATGAATTATTTATTAAAATTTTACATTATTCTAGCTGTATAAAATCGGGTTTTCCTTTTATGAATTTTCTTTCTTTTTTTCGTGTAGAGAAGAAAGTATTTGAATTAATCTTAGCAGCTTTACATTAACTGTATCTTCTGTTATGAAGATGTGACTTATGTTCAGAACTATTTGCCAATTCCCCTTCATTATTTTTATGAAATCAATAAATGTGTTTCTGAGTTTCGATTTCGTTGAAATGCTTACAATCATTTAAAGGATATACTAGTAGTCGTCATTTTTTACTTTTAGTTGTTAGATAAAAGACAAATAAAAAATAAATAAAAAAAGACATGTGTGAATAATTTTTTTTGTCATAGAATGAAAGACTTAATCATATCAATTATATTCAATGTATATAAACATATATATACAAGCAATTGAGATTCCACTATATACGATTTTGTCTCTGTTATCATATATTTTTGCTATGATATTGCATAATATTTAAATTGTATTACACTTGCATTGATATTCTGTAAATACTGTTATGCTCTTCATCTTTGGAGGACATAAAAGTACCTATCATAAGTTTCCGTTCAAATTTGACGTATGCATTCATCATAGGAATATGCAGGTCAAGTTTGAATTTGGTCATGGTCCGATGAGAGTGTCATGACCCTCGACGCAATTTTCAGTTTCTATTCATTATCAGGTCAAGTTCGAATTTGGTCATGGTTCTATGATTTTTGACAGAGGTATCCCTCTTGATTTTGGAAAAAAAGAAGAAATTTTCAGTTTCTGTTCATTATCTCCCCAACAATTGTACACATTCAACTCCAATTTGACATATATTTTTTTTTTTTTTTTGGTTTGTTTGTTTCATTTTACGCCTTTTTCCAACAGTATTTCAGTCATATAGGCGGGTAGTTTCCTAACCATCGTTCCTGGAGAGTTACACCAGTACTAGACTACTTTCCTCCGTGCTAAACTACCAAAGCAACTCCCGGGGATCGAACCCACGCCAGAGGTAACATGATTAGAAGTCATCGTCTCTAACCCCTCGACCACGGAGGCGGTAAATTTGACATATATACTCAACGAAATAGAAACCTGACACTTTAATTCTTTTAAATATTTTCTAATTTGTGATTTAAATCAAATAGAGAAAAACAGAATCCCTAAAGAAAGCCCAACACGGCAAAATTAAAAATGCTGCAGACTGGGTTTGATTGAGCCTGTTCATGGACGGTACTGGAAAGTGCAAGTTATCGCCCATGCCCCCCAGCACCGTCTTAAACAGAATTCAACATTTAACACAAACTGGTACAATTTGGAAATTTGAAACATCCGCAGTTGTGTACATATGACGGTAAAATGTGACACGTAAGTGCCATTCCATGAAAAGCGGCATATGGTCCCCAAGTAAAAAAATGCGTGTTCCCTAAACAAGAAAACAATGGGCGGAACTAAATAAAATGGAATTTTGAAAGGGGATCTGAGGTTATGAAGCCTACATATCACAGATTAGACGTCAAAAGACAATTTAAAAAGCAGGCAACATATCCTAAGGGTGATTCAAAACATGTGTAGTGAGTATTCATGACTATAGATACACTATATATGTTTTGTTTTTGTTTTGACCGCGTATTGTCAGTAGAATGCAGCTAAGCGTAAAATTTTAGTTTTTGCACGTGGACCCCGTGTATGCTAAAATGTCAAGTAGACAGTGATGTAAGGCACTATACATGTGTTCAGTAACAATTTAGTGTTATCACACCTAAAGTTGATAGCTTTCACAATGCAACGTTTATCAGAAGCAGAGAGAAATCAAGCAATAGGAATGCTGCTGGATGGGGCACTGTTGTTGACGTGAGTAGAACGTTTAATTGCAGTCGCAACAACGCCCGTCCCCACAGGGCGAGGATAACTCGTGCTCGCTTAGCTGCAGCCAATGTCAATACCATGCAATTGCTAGCAATGTCTCCAGATATGAATCCGATAGAGCATATCTGGGATGTGCTTGGCAGAAATGTCCGACGACATCACGCCCCACATAATATGCTCAAATTGACAAATGCATTGATAGCGGAATGGAACAATTTTCCAAATAACCTTGTTCAACGTTTCGTAAATTCTATGCGACGACGCGTTAACGCACTACTTAGAGCCAGGCGAAGCCACAACCGATATTGAATTAAATGAAAAAATCGCATGCATTTTAAACCTGTTAAAGAAATGATTAAAACCTATCTGCACGTAGTCAAAACGTTATAGCCACAAAAAATTGATATATTGAATTTGACCCTTTCCTTAGAACTAGTGTAATTTAACAAACATAAACATAATTAATAAACAGCAAAATGCGTATCAATGTTGTACATGCATCTCTTTTTCATGCCCAACATCCGTTTTTACATTTCCGTCATCGATTTCCTGAAAATAATAATGAAATATTCACTGTCAGGTTTCTATTTTTGCTGAGTGTATAGTCTGATTTTATTTACCTGTCAATTATGAATACATTATAGCACTCATTTAAATATTCGATCCTACTTCGGTTTTGTCCGTTTATTTTACGAGAATTAATATGGAGTATATAGCTAACGTTTGGAAATCCCCACTAGCTAAATGTAGATTCTCGTAACATACGCAATAGCAAAGTCGGTCAAGTGATTACCTAATGTATGAGAGGTCCGAGGTTCGATCCCTTCTTTTGACATTTTTTAGACGTCACTTATTTTTAGACTTTTTTTTATTTTTAAGTATATCATAATACAAATGTTCAAGCGCTTTCAGAATTTTCTACACAGATATGAAACAATTAAGAAACATTGAATTGTCACGTTTTGTATTGTTTTTTACGGCACTGAAATGTTATTTAATGATCTTAATCCGAATGAATTTTGAATATTAATTCTTTAATAATGTTATATACAAAAGTATAGCATTAACAAAAAAGAGCAAAACAGATTAAATCAGAAAGAACAACCTTAACTTCAAAAATGTTGAAAATAGTTATGAATAAGAAAAAATGCCTGCTCGATCTTACACCACATACGACATTTAGCAATTATATACCCGTAGTTTACCCTATTACGCTATAACGGTCAGTGTAACTAATGCATAGAAACCAGATGAATTCAATCATATCTTACTGCTTAAATCTCACGGAATAAATCGAACATTTATCGAATATTAATTTATTCTGTGCATTGACCGTTTTATCAGTATGGAATTGACAGGTTAATAAAATCAAACAATAGATACATCATAAGAATAAGCATGGCAAGTTTGTATTTGGTCATGATTCTGTGATTTTGGACGAGATTTTGGACAAAGTTATCCCTCTTGGACGTTGAAAAAAAAAGAAATTTCAGTTTCCACACACTTACTTTTGTAGAAATGTACCTAAATGTATAAGGTTGAAATTGCTTGTACAGGTATTTAACCAGAACAGTTCGAATTTGGTTTTGGTGCAATGATTTTTGACAGGGTTCTCCTTCTTGAACTTAGAATAAATAATAAAAATATTCAGTTTCTGCGTGTTTAAAGTGTTTAAATATCGAATTCTGCTTACGCCGATATCAGAGCATGTGAATGGTAGCTAGCAAAAATCACTACAATCTATTATCAGACTCAATCAAACCGAGCCTGTAAAATATTTAATTATGCCGATTTGAGTGTTCTTAATGAAATCTGTTTTTCACTATTTCACACAAGATGAAATGCATATAACTACACATCTTAAGAAAGACTATAAATAGAATCCTTAAAGAATGAATTAATACACGAATAATTGCCATGCTTGTACCATAAACAAAAAAGAAATTAAATAAGAAAAACTCAAATATATACCTCCCAAAACGCCAATTGTAGCATAAAGATACCAAATGTCTGTAACGATAAATGACACTGCAAAGCCTGAAGACATGCAAATACTTGACACCAAAAGAGCGACAGGCAATCCGAACTTGTTGATTATTACTCCGCTTACAACACCTTTAAAGTGACAAAAAACACAACAAATGTATTTAAGCTGTATAACCTGTTTTTTTTTATCCCAGATGACCCATAAACGAACTTTAAATCATTAAAAAAATCTACCTCTTAAAGCTAAGGGGTTGCCTTAACCGGTTAAGACATTGGAATATTATCCACATATCATAAGAGACGACTTAATGGGTTTGAAGTACAATCTTGCAGACAAATTGTTCCATATTTGAGCTCTGTTGGGTAGTTTTTGGCTCCGGGTGACCCGTATACCTACTTTACCTAGAAGTAATCTACTTCTTAACCTCAGGTGTTTTAAACTTTAAGCAACACCAGGGGTCAAAACACCTCACCCCGAGCCCGGAGATGCATAGAAACCAGTAATTGGAACCAATTTAGCCGCCACTTACAATCGCGCACTTCAATTATGATGCCTTAAACCTTAATGGCAACCCATCAGCCAAAAGGGAGAGCAAATACATTACTAAAAGTATCAAAGTATTGTTATTTTTATGTATTCTTTATATTAAATGTGTCCGAAGTATATTATACCTGCAATACTTTCTTGTTGTGTTTATGTAGATTGCTTTACTTTATGTATATTTCATACAAATTTCAAATTTTGTTCACGAGTCCGTATCATAAAGTTATACAAATTTTGAGATTGTGTTGCCGATAGTGAATTATGACATTTGCATATCTAATAATGGCATCCCTCGCACTCGGCCAAATGTTAAGTATGCATCAACTGATTAGAAATGAATTGATGCACTGACATGTAAGAATGTGAACACCAGTAGTAAGTAAGTACTGACATGTAAGTAAATGAGTAACAAAAAGAGAAACTTACCAAAACTTGTTGTTATGCCCATCAATAGGGCTTGAACAGTGGCTGTTGTTGGCCGGTCCGTCAGAAAAGTATCGCGAATTGAAGGAAACAAAGCCCCGAATGAAAACACTAAACCAAACTGGAATGTTGCTAGGACAAACACCACCCAAAAATATAACCACTTCGTACTGGAAAAGAAAATTAAAATCTTATCAAGAGCCACCGCATATTTTCTTATTTCTAAAGATAAACACATCAGAGGAACAAGAGCATCTGCGAGGAAAATTATTCTCTTAACAAAATTTGCAAGTTTAATTCAAAATTCACTTTTGACATTGACGGTGAAGTCCAGAAATGCTATTTTTTATATCTTGTTACAGTTTCCACAAAAATATAAGATACTCATTTGCCACATTGATTAAAATTTGTTTGCTTCTTTTACTCTGTTGGCAATTGGTTACTAACAGTGAATGAGTATTTGTATGTCAGTGAAAATGCTCCTTTGTTTACATTTTGTTACCTTAACAACACATTCAGTGTAGATTTCTCCAGTTGTTAAACATGTACTATGATCTTAATCTATTATCAAAACATTCAAATACATATTTGGTATTTCTATAGAATACAAAAATATGGATTTCTGAGGAATAATGTGCCTTTTATCATGTTTCACTTTTGTCATAAGTGCTAGTTTGTGTAAGAATGAACCAAATTCATAAAATAATAACAAAGTTATGACAATTAAAGCGAATTTCAATAACTTTGAGTCAATTGAAGGTCAAAGTCAAATTAGAATAATTCACATGAATTTGTAATATGTGTTCTTAAGCCATGGTCGAAAAAAGGTATCGGTCATTTTCTAGTGATTCGGCAATCAGGTTTTGTAATAATGTTTCCTTTGTCCAAGTATTAATCAATTCCATAAATAAATAACAAAGTAATGGCCAATTGCAGCAAAATTCACTAAGTTGACCTTATTAAGTGTCGAGGTCAAAAAAAGTAAAGGTCAAGTACAATAACATCTTATAAGATGACTTGTCCGCACAAGAATAGATAGAAAACATTTATTTATTACACAGTTATAGCCACTAGTAGCAAAAACTGTTATAAGTATTTGAAGTTTAAATTCAAGGTTATCTATTGGTCAAATTTGTATGATCTTTTTAAAGTCATTGGACAAGGGGAGTTGTGCTTAAGTATGAAAACAATCTAATTCATTACAAAATCATAGCCAATTATAGCAACAACTTGATTTTCAAAGCCAAGGTCAAAGTATGAAGATAATCTATCCATAAATAACCAAAAAGTTAAATCAAATTTTAGCTAAAAGCAAGAACAATTCAATCATATGACCTACAAGGTCAATGTTATTTAAAGCTGCCCAAACCTCCAAATTAGCCAAAATATTTCAAACTTGAGAAAATGTATTGCGATTTAAAAAAAAAAAGATTAAATCACTGATTTACATGCTTTTTGCGATTAATGATATATTTTTCAGTATTTATGACCATAATCGTATTGCTATTCTTTGCGTATTTTATTATCTTTTATGTGGATATTGACGTGAATACAACACATTAGCTGCGCTAAACGAGAACTGTATCAAATCTTAGGTTGGAATGGCTACGTCACGTTATTCAGTCCTATGAGTCAAAATCTGGTCTAGTTTTGAAATGAAATAACTTAAGTCTGGTGTACTCTATCTTATACTCCTTTCATTCTCTAATTTATTGAATTTATAACTTACGATATACTAAGTAGGTTTTACCTAACAAAAGCTTTTTTTAGAGTAGGGTAGTTTTTTTTGTTTAAATGTTAGAAATATGAAGAATTGCAAACAAGAGAATCGGGTTGGGGATGATAAAACGACACTATTTTGATAATTAAACCGGTGATTATCATCTCCTTTTCGATATTGGACCTCTCATTACAGTTGAAAAGGGAAAAGAGTTGTAAAGTCTTTGTTACTACATTTTGCACAATACCACCAGATGTGCTGCAAATATAACTGTAAATGTAGCTATTTAGCTACTTAAATATTATCTAAAAATCTAAAGTTATCTGCCAAAACTCGGAATAAAACATTCTTACCTTTGATTCATTTTTCACGATTAATACAATCCCTTCAGATTTGAATCTAGTTTTGATCAATGTTTAATCCTCTTTATCAATGTTGTGCAAAATGTATGTATGTTTACTAAGATATTCATGCTCAATTTATTTATCTAATTAAATATTCGTGAATGTGCAACTGCAATAATAAAAGTGTGCATGCATTAGAATGACAAAAACAATCCATTGCAAAATATTATCGTCTGTTGCATGTTTTTCATGATATGAGATTACCCAACTTTTCAGGGCCATAATTTATACAGACGTAAAAAAAACTGTGCACTTTTATTTTTGCTATATTTTCGTGATAACTCGGAATAACTGAGCGAATTTACCCCCCCCCCCCCAAAAAAAAAATAAAATAAAATAAATAAAAATAGGGAGGCATATAGCTTTTTAATTGTCCGTCCGTTCTTCCGCCCGTTGTCCCGCTTTCTTAAGCTTTCCGTCCGAACATTGTTCGGTACATAAATTTGTCACATATCGATGAATTTTAAAACAATTTTGTATTAATGTGCATCACATTTTGGCAATATGCATGTGCAACATCGATCTAGGTCTGAAGATTAAAGGTCAAGGTCACACTTTTAATAAAAAGCACCGATGTTCGTGTCCGATCAACGATCAGGTCATTGATAGAACGACACATTGTCATTATGCATAATATGTTGGACATAATGACAATGTGTCGTGCGCAAAAATCAAATCCCTTCTTCAAAGGTCAAAGTCATACTTGTAGATCAAAGTTACGATATGAATTTAATAAAATTGCACTATTGTTTATGTCGAGGGCATGAATCAGGTCCCTACCTTAAATGTCAAGGTCCCACTTTTATTCGTAAGGCATGATATGAATCTTATCACGAAAGTGCGTATATGGTTGTATCTAGTCAACAATGCTGCCACTCCTGCCATGTAAAAGCATTTGGTATGTATATGTTAGACATGATGATGATGTGCATAACTATACTGCTTATCAAGTTAATATGTAGCAATATAAGTAAAATTTAGCGCAGCAGCTTAAGGGTCAAGTACATGCTTTAATGTCAGAAGTTATGATATGACAGTTCATTGAAAGTCATGTCAAAGTCCAAGACTTTTTGTCATTCAGTAACAGATTTTGTAATAATTTGGTTTGGAGATATAAAAGAAACAATAGATGATGAGTTTGTAGCCACGATAGGACTTCTAAGGTTTATACATAGATAGTTATATCCAGTCATTAATTTTGTCATACATGAATAGAATTTGAATTAACTAGGCATACGTAATGTGGCACATTCCGAAAGCGTGTCACATTCAGAGGCCTGGCCGACAGTTGAAAAGATATTGTTTATACAATGTTAAAATACTTTATTGGTCATTGTGTCTAGTCATATTTTTGTCATTCATTCATGGATTATTTTTTTAAAAAAAGTAATAAAGCTAACTGATGATACATGAAAATACTTGTAAATGTTCCTATATTATTGGAACACTCTTTTTATAGTAACCATGCCTTTGATGCAGTTTCTCTACTTGGCTACGCTTGGGGATGGTCATTTGTCTGTTTCCAAATACAGTTCTAATTTCCATCTGAGTACAGGCGCATTTGACTAAATATTGCACTTAATTGACCAAACTTGCCGGATATTTTACTAAAAGATGACTTGAACGCTGTTACGTGATCATATGTTTTTCATGTTTATTTTGTCGCCGGTCGATTTACTGAAACTTTACGCACTGAAACATTAGCTTTCAAATTGAATTTGAACCGTGAACAAGAAACCATGGCTTCGAAAAAAACGATAGAGTTCAAGTTCTTGTCTTTCTTGCGCCAGAAAGAAGCGTAACTAACGTTGACAGATAGTTTAAATGTCATAGCAATATAATGATATACCTGCGGCAGCGTAGGAGATGGCGTTCATGATCTTTTTAGCAAAAATGCAAACCCAATCAGAGCCAGGTGGCAATACGTCGGCCAGATTACTAATCCTCGTAACCTTTCTTGTCGTAGCGAATTCTATTTGGTGGAGGCAGCGCAATGTTTTTGGCACGATAAAAGGTGACAAAATGTAAATCTACTTGTCATTTCTGGTATTCTGAATGCCCGAATTTATATTGACATTGTTGCACGTCCTTTTCTGCTTTAGTATAAATGTTTGGTAATGCCAGTCGGAATATTGCTAGGCTCAAGGAAAATTATCACACTAGCACAACGTTAACTTACTACCATGCCCGGCTTGCTCACCGGACATAAATCCCTTTATTGCACCTTGGAAGGAGGGCAAGAAGAAATCAGTAAGTTATAATATTCGGCATCTTACAGTTGTCCTTGTCCAAGAATGGAGTTCTATTTCGTATGGTCGAGAATATTGCTTTGAATCATAGGAGAGATGGACATACTCGGGATTGATGAAATTTCAGAAATTTAAACACATTTACAGTAACAATTTACAAGACCGTTACAAAAATGACAATTGACAATTTGAAAAATGCGAATTTCAATTTTAATCCCTAATACGTTAACGTAAAAGACAGTGGCGTTTATCTTTGATTATAACAAAAACACGGCATCATGTTGGCGACTGAATATCCCAGATTTTGGTATGAAATATTTAAATGTTCTTACAAGAATAGCCTGAAAAAAAAAAACACTTTTTTGCGTCAGTATATAATGTACGTTTAATAGAAAAATCAATAAAATAGTCGCTTAAAAAACTAAGTGCACTACTTCTCATATAAATGTAAAGAAAATGCAGTTGCATTTGTCTGGGGTGAAGAAAATGCTGTTTTAACTACATTTTTGTATATGAATTAAAAGCATTTCGAATGTGTTGCAACAGGTACTAGTACCTCAGAAATTTAATCGATTTGTTTATTTTAGGAAGATCATAGTGTAACCTTCTTACCAAAGTATACCTTACTGCATGTCACCTTGTCAGTTCAAACAACTTAATTAAGATTTCCCAGTCTTAAATTTTGAAAAAATTATCTCCAAAATATATCGTGAAGATATAATTTGTCCCTGACAATTATTTATGTCTGACACATTTAAATAATATCTTCATATACTCGTGACCAAACAATTGTTTTTACCCAAATGCCTTCAAACAGGATTGAACACTAATACTTCCAAATCAGATTGTCATCCGCTTACTTTTCTTGCATATTTTTGTTCAGAATTTTATCTAGATGATCATTATTGAAGAAGAAGAAGCAATTACCAATTAAGTACCAATTAATCTAGACAAACGCTAATTGGTTTTGTGAAACTACTTTCTTTTTCATAAGAAAATATTTGTTGATGAAAACATATTTGTTGATGTTCTGATACAGAAGTTGAGCTTGAATTGTCAATTTTTTTTTTCAGTTTTTTGTTAAGAACATGATTAACATCAATAATGTAAAGTTTTTAGATGACTTTTGACTTTTTCTCAATTATACAAGTTTAAAGATTTGAATTTAGCATCCACATAATGTTATAGGCAGAGTTTATGAGCAAGAGCATTGTTTTACTAATCTCGATTTATGGTGATTGATTTTCATCTATCATTGACTTTAAATAAATAAAAAGAGTTAAGAATTTCTTTCGTGCTTTGTTTATCGTTGATTTTTTATAACAAAAAGAACGAAAGTGTACAATTGTAAGTAGAAACTAAACGGGCTTTATACAGACAAAATTATAAAGTAATAATTGATGGTCTGTATCAAACAAACTGGGCAAAATTTAGAGTGATGTACAAAACTTTTATCTGGAAATCTCATATGAATCCTGTAGCTATGAAATTGTAGGCTTGAAAAATCATGATATTACTTAACGATTTTATAACAAAATTGTTTATTGGTATTTACGGCTAACATTTATGGCACCAAAAAGGGGAAATATGATTTTGGCTTACATAGGGTGGTACAAACTTCAACGCTAGGGGTTAAAACGATCTCACCGTCTAGAGCTAAGAGAAGCATAGACTCCAGTAATTCAAACCAATTTAGTCCATGAACAGGCTGAAGACCATCTACAATCTTACATTATTATCATTATCCTTTTGTAAACAGCTGATCAAATTATATCTAATTATACTTTAAAAACGTATCTCTTAATATCCTTGTGGGTGGCGATAAGGTAGATAGGATTGTAAGGACCTGTACTATCCTTGATAACACCAGAGATTTAACACCAGAGATAAGAACACAATAAAATAATATTCTATTCTAAACAACTTGAGCACAAATGCAGCTAGTAGCTCGAACTCAATGCTTTAAAATGATTTTAGAATCAACCAAGACATCAAACTGCACGAAAAATGAAGAATGGCTTCTCTACCGATCACTGTTTCTGCTCTATGATGAGCTCGTTTCCATGCCGTAATAGGTGTGTACCAAAATTAATTCTTTGAATTCAGATGAGCACAAGATCTCAGACAATTATAATTTCTTGTGTATATTATAACAAGGCCATTAAGCCCTTACTATGTTGATTATCATAAATGGACTTCTTCATCATTCAATCTGAACACATCCATCTCAAAATATGTAAAACTTATTGACTAGCCAACGATGAAGACAGTGATTCGACAGTAAGTATATGTCAGCTGATCTTGATCTACACTGGTCGCATGGATACATTTAATTGCCACAAGCCAATGGTTAATTAATTGAGCTGAAAGAAAACGTTATTACCTATTCTTTATCTATTATCATCTTTAAATATTACTTATCATTGTGATTATTGATAATATTTTGGGTTGAAAAATATCTTTGACATAATTTATATGCACTGACAATCTATAAGCATTATGTTTGTAAGTGATCTTCTTTCCTTCAAAACATAAAGTTATTTGTAGATGGCGCGTCTCGACCCAAGTATAAAATCAACTTGCACACGTAGTATTTGAGTTGTCGTTGTTTTTGCAAAACAAACCATCTGAAGTATACGCCTTTGTCTTTTAGCATTATGAAAACCCCGCGAGACGATATAATGAACAAACAATGGATACTAGCGCATATTTTCAATATGAATTATGCCGCTTTCTTGAGTGATCTTAGCCCTGTCAAATTATTTAAACGCAAAAAAAGCTGCTCAAAACTTTGCGAATCTGATGGACTAC